TGCCTGCGCCTGGTGCGCGAGGCGCGCGACTTCCAGGCGGCGCGCTACGACCGTCACGATCGCGGGCCCTGCCCCCGGATGCGCCCGCGCCCATCCACTGGCCTCGCCGAGATCCTCGTTCTAGTGGGCGGCTGTGACCAGGACTGTGACGAGTTGGTCACCGTCGACTGCTACAACCCGCAGACGGGCCAGTGGCGCTACCTGGCCGAGTTCCCCAACCACCTGGGCGGGGGCTACAGCATCGTGGCGCTGGGCAACGACATCTACGTGACAGGTGAGTGGGCTAAGGGCTGGCCAGGAGGACCCTGGGCCGGCGAGCCCTCCGCGCCCCTGGGTGAGCACACCCACCTGCAGGAGAATCTGGAATCCCGGGACCGCATCTGGGTGCCAACGGCCACTGCCCTTCCCCCTCCCCAGATTGGCGGACACAGACACGTTTCTAAGATTGATACTTAAGGCTTAGAAGACGAGTCCTCTATGTGAGTGGGAACAATAGCTGTTTGTGGGTCTCTTCCCTGTGCGGTAGGGCCTTTCTGGGTAGCCCCCTCTTTGCCTGGGAGGTGCCCCCATTTGGCTGGAAGATACTGGGACAGTTACCCTGAACAATGAGTGCTTTCTTTTCTCCCTAAGGGATCCGAGGACAGGCCAGGAACCGAAGCCCTGTGGTACATCCATTCTCCCCCACCCCGGGGAGTTCACAGCTCATCAGCACGAGTCTCCTGACTCACTCATTCTGTCCCCAGTGACGAGGTTCCCTTGGGCTTTACACCTAGGCCCTGTGCTGTGGGTCACATGGTGTTTAGGCTGCTCCCAGCCCAGGGACTGTAAACATAGTCACATGCTAAGAGGTTTTCTCCCAGTTACTTGGCCCAAACCCCAAAACACTGCCGAATCATGCTGGGCGGGTCCCAGCCGGCCCCAATCCTGGGCATCTCCCACATTTTTTATTAAATTTAAACCCCGGTTTAAGCATGAGGCTGCCTCCTTGCGTGGGGTGAGGAAGGGCGGTCTGTGTGACGGCTATATAAGGAAAGAACCCGGCAGAGCATTCACTCAGCCTGCAGAGGGCTGGACCGGTCAGGGAGGCTCGGGCTGCGCTCGGCCATCACAGTCTTGCATCCAGCCTGGTACGTTCAGGAGAAAGGCAGCTCCAAGATACCCTCCAAGTGTTCCGTGGGGTGCTTCCCAGCCTGAGGACACACTTGGCCCTGTGACCACAGCTTCCTTGGCCTGCAGCTCCAGTTCTAGCCTCGGCAGGAATATGCCAGAACCAGTGCCTTTCCAATCTGAGGTTGGCCCCGTGTTGTTTGGAAACCGTCCCGTTCCCTGCCCCCCCGCCCCGAACTCTGGCCAGTGAACTCCCAGGACTGGTCAGACTCGCCCCAACTTTGCACGCCCTTCCATAAATGTCTCAGCTGAGCAGCTAATCCTTTGGGTTTAGGCAGGTGCCTGGGCCATTCCCTGCAGCTGCCTGTAGGGAATTTCATGAGGGCAAGCAAGTGGCTTCAGCTGCCTTTGACACAGTTCTCCTTTAGAAGGAAGAAGGAGGCACCAGAGAGGACTTTACCAGGACTGTCTTTTTTCCCTCGAAAAGCTCAGGGCTGTGAGCCAGATAGCCTGCTGTGCCCTGTCTTGGGGTCGTAGGGAAATGCAGTCCCCAGGGTTCTTGGGGTCCTTTCACACTGGGAATTCTAATGTCTTTTGTAGACCTGATTTAATTCATGGTTACAGCTAGCACCACTGGGGTGTTTTGTTTTAAGCCCTTTTTAAAAAAATTTTTTTTTAATTTTTCAAAAGCCATCAAGCCCTTTTTCCAAACAAAACATATGTGCAGCAACCTGCACCTGAATCAGGAAATAGAGCCCCCGGGGTCCACCCTAGCATTACTCTCTGTGCTAGAATTTTTTTCTTTTATTGAAACATAGTTGATTGTGCGTTAGATTTCTTGCTCGCAACGTGACAGGTTTCTTTTTCTCAACTCATCTGGCACAGCCTTGGTTAGGGGATGCCCGGGAAGCCTAGAATTTGGTGAACGAGTCCCCTCTGCCCCACCCACATGCTTTGTGGCTCCCCAGGATAATGGTCTCTGAAGAGCCAAGGTCCTGGTCCAGCTGAAGCGTTTGACCGAGTTGGTGCAGGGGAGGTCCTGAGCAAGGTTGCTGTTTACTGCGAATTGCAGCCCCCAGGCCTTGGCGTGGCCTGCAGAGATTTGGTGGCATTTTGATGGAGCTCGGCCATCCTCCCGGGCAGGGGTCAGCATGTGCGTGGCCTTGGCTGCAGCATGGAGCCTTTGGCCTGGGCTTTGCTGAGAGAGGATATGTGTTTATGTGGAGCCAGCTGAGGGTCACTCCCCCCTTCCCCGGGAGGCTCCCTCGGACGTTCAGGGAGTCACAGGCCGTCACTCACCCTGAGCGGCCGGGGCTGACTGCCCACTCTGCGCCCGGCAGGCGGGTCCGACGGCTCCCGGCTCTACGACTGCGTGTGGAGGTACAACTCGAGCGTGAACGAGTGGACTGAGGTGGCACCCATGCTGAAGGCCCGGGAGTACCACAGCTCATCCGTGCTGGACGGGCTGCTCTATGTGGTGGCGCCGACAGCACAGAGCGCTACGACCACACCACCGACTCCTGGGAGGCCCTGCAGCCCATGACCTACCCCATGGACAACTGCTCCACCACCGCCTGCCGCGGCCGGCTCTATGCCATCGGCTCCCTGGCTGGCAAGGAGACCATGGTGATGCAGTGTTACCACCCGGACACGGACCTCTGGTCGCTGGTGGACTGCGGGCAGCTCCCAACCTGGTCCTTTGCCCCCAAGACAGTAACTCTGAACGGACTCATGTACTTCATCAGGTGAGTCCCCTGGGCCAAGGCCACCTGTGTGATCTTTTTGTTTTTAACCCTGTGCTAAGTACATGATCTCTGTTCTCCCCATTTCACAGATGAGGAAACTGGGGTCCCGCTGGGATGTGAGGCTGGGTCTTTTCTGACCTGAATCCTTGTTCTATCCCCATTTCTTAGAGCTGTTTCTGTGGGCTTCTAGGGACCCCAGGTGTGAGGGAGCTGGGTCCTCTCAGAGACCTTTTTGAGATTCATAGAAGCTAAATCAATTGTGTATCTTTGGCTGGACTGCACCCAAGGGGTCCCACTAAAAAGCCCTGCTTGGTCTCATGTGGCATTTACAAAAACCGGAGAAAGGAGCAGAGGAGATCTTTCTGGACACTTGAGTCTTTGCAGGAGGTGTGGCCTTGGCAGAGGGACCCTTTGTGTGCTAGCTCAGTGACAGACGGTGCCAGGTGGAGGGTCGGCCCCGCCCCCTCTGCAGAAAGAGCAGCACTTGCATGCTCAGTGTTCCCTGGACTCTGTCTGTTCCCTTCCCGCCTGGCCTGGCGCAGGGAGGGCCCGTGAGTCTTGTTGGAAGAACACTGTTGTCCAGGGATGCCACAGCCCCTCTGGACCAGGGAGGGGCCTGACGTTGGACAAACCTGGAGCTGCCTGTGGAGACAACGACAGTACTTAGTGAGTGTTGAGGCCTCGGATGTGCCAAGCTCTGGGTTGCCTGCCTCTTGGGCATTTTCACAGTTGATCCCCATGATTGTCTAATGAGATGGGCACCACTGTCCCCATTTCACAGAGGGAAGAACCGACGCTTGGAGGGGTCAGGGACTTGTTCACAGCCAGAGGCTCTAAGTGGTAGCACAGGGTTTGAATTGAGGACATCCATCCCAGGTCCCAGGTGTGGTCACCATGCGTCCGTGGGCCTTGATGACTTGTCACAGCCAAGTGCCCCCTCCTGATGGGCCAGTGGGCATCGAAGGAAGTAGGTGCTCCCTGCCTGCCGCTGCACAGCTGCTGTGCACGTGTACACATGTGCACATAAACAGGTGGTTGTGTATACCTGCTGCTCCCCTCCCTGGCCTAGAGCCTGCCTGAAGCTGCAGGACCAGGAGGGAAGGGCAGGGTGTGAATTGCCATCCCCTTTCTGTCTGGGGCTTTGAATTGGGAACCTCAGAGGACGAGGATACTGCTTCTCAGCTTCTCGGTGTAACTTGTGCGAGTGGCCAAGGGGCCAGGCCTCACCGTATCCCAGAAAGCTATGGTCTGCTCAGGTCTGCTCTGAGAAAGCCCCAGAATTCCAACCAGCTCCTGGTCCTATTATAAAACCTCATCTGACCCTTTGCCCAGCTCTCCCTCCCCCAAGTTGTGGTAATGCCTTCAAAGAGGGGGTGGAGACCTCTTTGCTATAAATACGACATATCAGAGTGCAGGACCTTGGCTTCACCTCCTCATGGTAGTTCCAGGCTGAGCGCCTTTGAGAATGTCCTTCCCCACCGGGGTCCTACAGCAGGACTTGCCCAAGGACTGGTCTGTGGACAGAAGGCCCCGATGCCTTCTTCCTCCTGGTCTTAGTCACTGGCCTATTGCTAAAACGCCCCATGTGCTAACATTAGGGTGCCCCCCAGGCCCACTGTTAGCTTTCATACAGGTTCTCCTGAGCCATGAGGGGTCGGGGAAGGCGGGCTTGACTCTGTTCACTCCCTCCACCACCACCACCAAACCTGGCCTAGAGAGTGAGCATCGGTAAAGGCAACCGATTTGTCCTCCAAGTGAGGAGTGGGGCCCAGGTCTCATGCACTTGAGCGTGTGTCCCAGAGCCACCCTGTTCTCACACTTTGGCGCCTCGCGCACAGAACCCCCGCTCAGAATGCCCCCTGCCGTGGTAGCTCCTGTCCAGAAGGTGCTATATAACAGGGAGGCATCCCACGCTGCGTGGAGGCCTCAGCCCACCGACTGCTGGCTATCCTGGGCCGTGAGCAGTGACCAGCTCTTCCTCCTCACCCAGCAGTGCTCTGCCTTGGTCTCCATTTAACCCGGCTTCTGGGCTTTGGTGTCTCGGGCCCTGCAGAGGCAGGAGCTGAGAGCACTGTCCAGCCCGGTCACTTCTGGCACCTTCTATGTCTCTGCAGTGGGGAGGGGGCAGCGGTGGGTGGGGAGGACAGCCCAGTGGGTTCCCACGGTAATTATCATCATCATATGGGCCACAAACTAAGAATGGTCTTTACGTTCTGAAATGATTGGAGAAAAAAAATTAGAGTGAGAGTAGTATTTGGTAACATGTGAGAAGTTATGTGAAATTCAAATTTGTGTCGCTGAACAAGGTTTTATTGGAATACAACCAGCTACTCTGTTGATACGTCTGTGGCTGCTTTTGGTCTCAACGGCAGTGTAGGGAACCTGAACTATTTAGTCTCTGGTCCTTCTGCTGACCTGTGAGCATCCTGACTGTTACTGCTACCACTATTTTGGGGGTAGTGTCTTTGTTTTGCAAAGCCGTGCCTTTGAACCTTTTATTGCAGGGATCAGGAGCGTGTCAAACAAGATTGAAGGGCCCAGACTCCAAGGGGAAGGGTGGTGGTGGCGTCCTCGGCCCTGTCATTGTGGTCTTGCTGTGGGACACAGAGGATGCAGCAGTGAACGAGATGGGATTGGGCGGCTGACAGTGGTGGGGAGGGCAGTGGCTGAGGAGGCATGGTCCAGGGCACGCTGGGGTGTGCAGTGGGGCGGGAGGCCTGGCCTCAGCTGGTCAGCCAGGGAAGGCTGTCCTGAAGAGGTGGCACAAGTCCGCATTGGAGGGTGAGTAGGAGACTGGTAAGGAAGGGCCATGATAAGTTCAAGATTGCAAGCAAGCTTGGGGAGGGGCAGCAGCAGCGTCGGTGCTGGGCTGTGGAAGCCAAGGGCATGACCTTTGGATGTGCAGAGCAAGGCTGGGCCCTCGCCTCAGCGCTGAGGCCAGGAGGTGTGGGAGCCTGAAATCAGCCCCCATGAACCAGGAATTGGGTCCCCCTGGCCAGTGGGCTGCCAGATAGCATCCCAGAAGTCCCTAAAGGACGTGGGCCTGGAGGAACCTTCTCTAGCCCTTCACACTCCTGTTGCTTCTACTCCCTCTGACCCCTTTCCCCCCCTTCCCCTTCACAGGGACGACTCTGCTGAGGTGGACGTGTATAACCCCACCAAGAACGAATGGGATAAGATCCCATCCATGAATCAGGTAAATCCACAGACATCCTAGCCTTGGGAGCACAGGCTGGTCCTGGGTTCCAACCAGAGTGTCAGCATAAGTGCTTCAGAGACAGTCCTGGTGAGCAGGGCTTGTGTTGGGCCCTTTCCCAGTATTGTCTCACTGATCAAACTGAGACCTTAAATAAGATGCCAGGGTCACATGGCTTAGCGAGTTCATCCATTCAGACCGGTGTTCATTGAGTACCTGTTATGAGCCCGAGAGCATGCTGAGGAAGAGTAATCCACAGAGGGACAGCAAGTCCAAAGGCCCTGGGGCAGGGTGGGCCTGGTGTGTCCATGGAGCAAGCCCTCTGCGTAGTGTGGCTGGAGCAGAGTGAACAAGGGGGACAATAAAGGGGATGCGGTCTTTGGGCACTGACTTTGGGAATGCATTTATTGAACAAATGCTGTGTGCTCTGAACAGGATCCCGACACTGCTGCTGCCTAACAGGGTTTCTCCTCTTCTCTGCCTTTTGAGAAGAGGATACTGAGCTTGACAGTGTGATGGGGCCAGGAAGATCAGTGGCCTTTGTTCATATGGCCAATCTCCTTGGTCCCAGATACACATCTACACCTGCCTATTTCTTTTTGTGTCTTCCTTAAAAATTTCCAAACCTTGGGGGAGGGTGTAGCTCAAGTGGTAGAGCACATGCTTGGCATGCACGAGGTACTGGGTTCAATTCCCAGTACTTCCTCTAAAAATAAATAAATAAATCTAATTACCCCCCCTAAAAATACAAAAACAAACAAACAAAAATTAAAATTTCCAAACCTGCTGTCACGATACCTCTGTGTGGCAAAGGTCAAAATTTATAATATCACAGTTTACTTAACATCTTTACATTTAGGAAATGTAACTTCATGTTTTTCCCCATAATGAGCTACACGTACTCATTATAGCAATTTTGGGAAAGATGGACTAGTCCAGCCTTGTGGTTCAGAGCCCAGACTTTGGATCGAGTCCCAGCTCTGCCACTGTTGGCTATACAAGGCTCGGTTTTCCCATCTGTAAGATGGGAGAGCAGTCATGCTGGCCTTACCGGGCTGATGCTGCTCGTGGGACGCCTCTGCCTCGGCAGCCCGTGACCCTGGGCGTGGATCCCTGGCTTAGCTGGGGTGTGGGAAGGGCACCGGCCTGTCCTGGGAAGTGTGCAGAGGACAGCTCCCAGCATTGCGCTGGGAAGCGCCAAGGCCGCCCCCAAGGGCCCCTGGCACCTCCCCCACGGAGAGGGATGTGAGGGCTCTCTCCTGCCCTGGCTGCCAGCCTCCACTCACCTTCCCCCTTGGCCCACAGATGCATGTAGGGGGCAGCCTGGCCGTCCTCGGAGGGAAGCTCTACGTCTCTGGGGGGTACGACAATACGTTTGAACTCTCCGACATGGTGGAGGCCTACGACCCAGAGACGCGGGCGTGGAGCGTGGTGGGACGGCTCCCAGAGCCCACCTTCTGGCATGGCAGCGTCAGCATCTTCCGCCAGTTCATGCCCCAGACGCCCTCGGGTGGGCGCGGCTTTGAGCTGGACAGTGGTGGTGGCGACGTGGATGTGGGCCGGCCCCGGCCGCCGCAGAACCCCGTCGAACTGCACTAGCCCCGGCCTGGCCCCGGGAGGGCCTCGGGGCAGGTAACCCGGCACCTCTTGGGGGGCAGCACCCCCTTCCTTCGTGCACGAAGACAGGTTGGGCTCACCAGATGGAGCACAGGCGCTCGGGCCACTGAGCTGAGCCAACCTCAGGATCTGACACCTGGAGAGTTTCTGTGCGTTTAGAGCCTGAGTCACAGCTACTGGGGCCAAGGCTGGTGGTGGATGCCCCTCCCTTGGTCCAGGAAGAGCTGCCTCCCTGCCGACACATCTCACCGTCGCAGCACACACCCCTCCTGCAGCCACCACCTGTGCCTGTTAGCTCCCGCCTCCGGAGACGAGGGCCACTTCTGGGGTACGAGTGGAGGGGGAGGGGTCCTTCCAGAAGGGTGAGGATGGCCTCGGCCTGCCTTCCTTCAGGCCTTCCTGTCCGGAGCATCAAGAATTAGGCAGACGATGACTGCGGTGGGGTCCCGAGCTCCTCAGCCGGTGCTGAACACCCAGCAGGCCAGCTTCCCAGATGGAGAGAGAGGCTCTACCTGCCTAGCTCCTCCCCACTGCTGGGGTCTCACACCAAAACACCCATTGTGGGTGGACCTCCTGGAGGTGAGCTCAGACCTGGGGGCACAGGGCAGTGGGACAGGACAGGAGTGTGGCCTTGGAGGAGGCCTAGAGGGACTGCTGACTGTTATGTCCCGAGTGGACCTGGGCTGAGGCAGATGCTGGGTGTCCCTGTCTACACACCAACCAGCTGACATGTCCCCAGCTAGCTGGGAGTCACCCGGACCTTCCTCCCTGGCCAGCGCAGGAGAAGCTTGCAATGCAAGGTCACAGCTCACTGGGAGGCCCTGGGACTTTGTCGCTGAAGCCCAGCCAGGCAGACAGCTGCAGACACCCTTGCCCTCGCTGGCCTGCAAGTGGAGAGTCCTGTTGCTTCTCAAGGAAGCCCAGGGCAGGGGGGGCCTCAGTAGTTGGTTGCAAGTTTTCGAAAGTAGTTTGGCCTTTCCTTAAAAGAAGGAAGCACCTCGAAATGGTCTGGTTTGTTTAATTTTTAATCTGTCACAGTCCCGTCACTGAAGCGCTCTGCGGGGTGGAGGTGCCTGGCTTCTCCAGGAGGGTGGTGGCAGGAGCTCCTGGGAAACCTTGTAGCTCAGGTGTCCCTGGTTTTCTCTGAGGAGTGAGCGTTTCGGGGGATTGGTGGGCTCATCCCCTCAAGGTTCCCGAGGTAGCCTTTGCTTGAATTTGTCTTTTCCCTTCCAGAGGGGAGGGCGGTGACATTTCCCTCGTTAGATCAGTGTTCATCCACATGCTCTCACCAGGAGACAGAGGTTTCTCACTACTTCACAAATGGCACTTAAAGCCCTTTCATTGGCCAGAAGCCTCCTGGCCTTTGGGGCTGTCGGACAGGGCCCTGTCTTCCCTCCTGTGTGCCCACTGTGAGCCCTGGTGCGGTGTCGTGGCTGTCAAGTCCGCCGTCTGGCCCTGGAACCCCTCCGGGATCAGCCACGGCTCACAGCTGGCCCTTCAGTCTTAGGTCGTGGCTCAGCTGGCCACTCGCAAGCCCCCATGTGGTAGGCACAGTGGGAGGGCAGGGTATGAGCGCCAGTACTTCCTGCCTCAGGCCTTGGCCAGCGTGGGTGCTCAGCCCTTTCCCTTGGGGGACCCCCCCAGTCTTTGCCTTCACCCCTCTTGGTCTGGTGTTCTCCCGCAGTGAGTTGGGGCTCCCCTGCCCCCCCCCCAGGATGGTCGCAGCCCTCCCTTCCCTTCCCAGTGGTTACTGGGGCCTTTTTCTGGTGCAGGTGCCTGCCCGGCAAGGCAGGGCTGCATGAGACTCATGGAGTCCTGGTTATATATATATATACCAGTCACCAAGCCAGTGCCAGACTGCCCTGCCAAGTGGGCGTGACATGCCACACGGGGAGATGTTGGATAGTTGCTGGGACACTTGTCTGGGGGACTTCCCCGGGGAGCATGTAGACCTCGATCTCCTGGGAAAGACTCTAGGTTCCTTCCCTTGGGCTGTCTCTGTGGAGGGCCTGGCAGCCCGGGAAGGCAGGACGGGGAGAGGGGTGGACTTAGACATGTGCGGCGGTCACTGGAGCTCCCACTCCCTCCAGGCGGGTGTGGCTATGCCTCTGGCGAGGGCAGTGACTCACAAGGGGAGCTTTTTTGCTGGGACAGGGGAGCTGCAAGCATATTTTTCTTATTTATAAGCTTTTGTAACCCCCTGCAGTGGTTATGGTCAGCACTGAGGGCCAGAGCCTGGGCCTGGGCCTTTGTCTGGTCTTCCCTGGATTTTTGGTGCTTTACCGTGGAACTGACCATTCCACTCTGGTGACTGTTCAGGTGATGGTTGGTTTAGTGGGGCCGGTGATGTTCACTCTCTAGAACTGCCCGGGTCCCCACCACCGTCTTTTGTTTAAAAGACCAAAGATGGGAAGGGGAGGCAGCAGGCACCACCTGGGGGTCCAGGATCAGGCATGACCCTTGAGAAACGTCTACTCCCTGCCCTGCCCTCCCCGCTTCTTGTGGGCACCAGTTCCAGGCTGTGGAGTTCCCATCACTTACAGATGTCTGTGCACCGACAGGCCGGGCCAGCTGGGGTAAGACTGTCTACATGTTGGATGTACACAACTTTTTCAGTCTATAGGACAAATTAAGTTATGAAAACTCAGTGACTAGTATTTAATGCTGATCTACTATGAAGTGTGCTGTATCTGACCCCAGAGACTTCCATACTGGAGGGACCCCCCCCAGTGTCCAGCATCCAGTTCCAGTCCCAGGCGGTGGAGCAGATTTGCATATTTATTTGTTCTGTAAGCTTACGTGTCTAGAATCCCATTTAAGGTTTTAGGATGCCTTCAATATGTATTTTTTGAAATAAAAATATTTCCTATACACTTGGTGTCGTCTCTATCCTGTGGCCTTGTCTTGGTGGTCCTCTAGGCTGAGGCCACGTGCTTGGGGCAGGGAGAGCAAAGCGGTAGCCTGCTACAGAGCCAGCTGCAGCCTCCTGCCCCACCTCTGGGTGCTCTGCCCCTTGCTCCTCCTGAAGGTGGGGTCCCAAATGGTGATGAGATCCCTGTCTGCAGTGGGTGAACCTTGGACCTGGCAGGGCCGGGGGTGGGTGGGTGGTAGAACCCATAAAACAGAGGAGCCCAGAAGAGACCGTGAAGCTCAGAAACATTCCTCACACCTGCAGAGCCCACCTGAACCCAAGGAAGAGGCCACTGCCAGGCTGAAAAGAGCTTCATGAGCCCACAGTCTGTCCTAGTCCCCTTGCCAGATCAGGAGCATGTGACCTGGCTGGCAGTTACTGCACTTGAATCCTGTCTTTACCACTGAGCTCCCTAGTGGTCAAAGAATAAAAGAAAAGATGGTTAGATGGGTTCTTGGTCCTCAAGCCCTGGAGGGACTTAGCCTAGCATGGGGCTGGTGCTTTGAGAATCCTCCAGCGATGGGTGTAAGTAGTGCCTGACTTGAGTTCTTGGGGTCATGACTGTCAGTACCACTGATTGAGCGCTCACTCCATGCCAAGCACTGAGTAGGAGCACTCCCTTGGGCCAGCTGGAAAATGAGCAAATTCTTTGACACTCTTCCCACTAAGTGGAAGGGTCTGTGTTCCCTTGAATCTAAGGAATGTCATTTATGGTGACTGGACCAACACAACATGGCAGGAGTGACACTGACGCTTGACTTCCAGGGCTAGGTCACAAAAAGGCCTGAAGGCTTGAGCCTGCTGGGACATTTGTTCTTGGCACCCAGCCACCATGCCGTGAGAAAGCCCAGGCAGCCCACGGAGAGGCACCCAGGCCCACTCGGCCGAGGTCTCTGGACAACGCGGGGAAGCTGCAGGCCCGGCTCTGAGGTGCACGGAGGGTCAGGCAGGGCACACAGTGGAGTCCATGCCTGGAGTCCAGGTTACTGAGGAATGGACCGCAGGATGGGCTACAACAATCGAGTCCAAAGCCATGTGGTTTATTGGGGGCTGGGGCCAAGCAGACTGGTGGGCAGGGGGGCTACGTGTCACAGTCCTCGGGGACGGTGGCCGTGATGATGAGCGAGGGCTCCATGGCGCTCGTGCCCGCGAAGCTGTGATCTGCACACAGCCTCCGGCCAGGGAGCTGGGAAGCCAGGCTGCCCTGGGCCAGGGACTCCACGATGACCTCGGCTGAGCCCACCTCCAGCTCAGCTGGTGGCTGCAGCGCCACCACCACCACCTTCTCGTCCTCGATGACCAGGTTGCGGAGCTTGCGCTGCCGTGGGTTGTAGTTCTCCACCCGGTCATGGATCTCCATGTGCCTCCGCAGGTGAGCCTGTGGAGCAGGGGGCTCAGAGCTGGGTGCCAAGGGGCTCAGGGACCCGTGGGGGGGCAGGAGGCGAGCCAGGCCCCAGGCCTACCTGCCGGGTGAACTTGTAGCCACATTCGGTGCACTCGAACTTGCGAACCCCCTTGTGCCTTCTCACGTGCACACGCAGCTGCTCCACTGCTGCAGAAGGGAGGGGACCCCACGTTAGGAGAGGCAGAAGTGGGCAGTCCCAGGTTTGCAACTGCATCCTGGGCTCTACTGGGCTCTACAGTGCCACCCGGAGGTCAGTGCTACACCAGGCCCTCAGGAGCCTCCACCCCTTCCCCTCAGTCAAAGCAGTGCCAGGCTCATTAACTAATTCTGGGGAATGGAGATCATTCTGGGGAGTGGAGATTTGATGGTGAGAAGGCTCTGCTCCGCAGGAGAGATGAAAGCCACTGCAGCACCCGACCTCTCCAGGTGAAGTGCCACCCTCTCCGGTCACCCAGCAGGGAATCACCCAGCCCTCTGCTCCCCTAGGGCAGGCCCAGGCACCTTTGAAGGTCTTCCCACAGATCTGGCAGAAGTGGGGCCGGCCCTCCTGGTGGCGGCTGGCCACGTGCCTCAGCAGGGGCCCCTTCTCCGTGAAGCGCTGCTCACAGAACTCACAGCTGAAGGGCCTCTCACCGGTGTGGGTGCGGTTGTGCTTGTCCAGACTGGCTGTGGGGACAGGGCGAGCGCTCAGCTGCGGGGCCTCTACCCCAGGGCAGGGAGGGGAAGGGCCTGCCTCACCTTGGGTGCGGAAGGTCTTGCCACAGAGGTGGCACTGGAAGGGCTTCTCGCCCGTGTGCGTGCGCAGGTGCATGTTGAGGTTGGCCTTCTGGGTGAAGGCGTGGCTGCAGAACTCACAGACGTACGGCCTCTCGTTCCTGTCCAGGCGGGGGACACAGGCAGAGGCCATCACCAAGGGAAGCAGCTCCCTTCACGCCAGTGCGGCTGGGAACATGCCTGGCCCCAGAGCCAAGGACTCAGGCCAGGCTGAAGCATGCCCACCTGAGCCACTGGAAGGGGCCCAGGCAGAACGAGCTGCCTGGTGGAAAGAAGGCTCAGGCAGTGCTGGGAAAGGGGCACTAGCTCCGCCTTGGGAACATGAGAAACTGAGAATCTGTCCAGGGAAGTACTAAGCCTCATCTTAGTCTGAAATCTACACTTCCGTAGACCCCTGCCCTGCCGGCCTCCCTGCTGGGCAAGCCTGCTCACCCCTCAGGCACCCCCACCCAAAAAGGCTGCAGGCACCAGACTCAGGGTGGGAGACGTGCACCTCAGCAACTCGGCCTCCCCAGCCCACTGGCTGGCCTGGGGCCAGCAGCAGGGCCAGGGCCTGGGGAAACGGGCCAACCCCCACCTGTGCTTGGCCTTGATGTGCATCTGCAGGCCGTTCCGGCTTGACGCCCGGTGCCCACACTCCTCACACACGAACAGCTTCTCCCCACGGTGCTTGAAAGCCTCGTGCAGCTGCAGTTCCGTTCGGGACAAGAAGCACTTGGCACAGGTGGGACACTGAGGGACAGAGGGGATGGCCAGAGGGAGTGGGGCCACAGAGTAAGGACAGGTAGGACTGCCCCCGGAGCCCCATGGAATCCCCTTGACCTTGCCCCCATGGCAGACACCATGCAGCCCGCCTGCTCTAGACACCACTCCAGGCACCTCACTCGCGCCAGTCCCAGTACCAGCAGGAGCCCGGCCCCGCCCTCCACATGGCCTGGAACTTACGGCGTGGGGCTTGGGGGCTCCATGAAGCTTGATCATGTGGCTCTGCAGGTCCTTCTTCTGCATGAACTGCTGGGAGCAGGAGGAACACTGAAAAATAGGCCCACAGTCACCTCTGAGGCAGCCTACACCCATGGAACCCTGGTCACCCCTGGGCTATGGGGTGGGAACCTAAAGGCAAGGCCCAGTGTGAGATGCCGGGAGGCTCCTTGACTTGGTGTGAAAGCCTCCCGTGCCAGGCCCACAGGGATGCTGGGCCTGCCCTCCATGGAAAAAAACAAGGGCCCAGAAAGGACCAGCAGCCCTACCCGAAGATACGGGAGCACTGGATGGGGAGGGAAGGCTGAGCTCCTTGATGGCTGGCCGAGGGAGGCACCTGACTCTCCTGCAAAAAGGGCTGGGTGGGAGGGATCCCGGGCTGCCCCTCGGTCCCTGGGGACAGGCGGAGCCTAACCTTGTAGGGCATCTCCCCTGTGTGGGATACCATGTGCACCCGCAGCTCCATCCTCCGGCGGAAGGTCTCCTGGCACACGGAGCAGGTGAAGACCTGGCAGTGTGGGGGCAAGCAGGGCCGGCATCAGCGGGGGCTCTGCCCGCGACGGCAGACTCTGCCTGGGTTTCCACTCGCTGCTGGGAGGAGTCTGCCCAGGGAGAGGGGTGCTAGGGTGGGAGAGGGCAACATGTAACCTGCTTGCCCTGACCCTGACTGTCACTGAGCGCTGTAGGCCCACCATGCCAGGCTGGGGCTAGGCTGGGGCTAGGGGCGGAACGGCCTCCCTCACAGCCCCCACTCTGCCAGCGACAGGCCTCTAGGAAGAGACAGGCAGGGTTTAGCCAGCCAGGGGGGTTGGGGGAGATGGCCAGGAGGCCTTTCTCAGTAGCCAACCCCCCACCGAAGTACCCCATCTCCAAAGCCCATGGGCCTAGTCAGGCAAACCCAAAATGCCTCCTGCCAAGTCCCTCCTGGGCTTGTCCCATCTGCCCCTGGGACCCGTGTCCCCATCTGTAGTACCAAGGGGCTGGACTCACGGACATCCAAGGACCCTGCAGCTCTGGAGTTTACAGTCCTGTCTAGGACAGTCTCCTGGGGGCCCCTCCCCGATGGCAGAGCAACAGAGACCAGCACACTCCTGCCCACAAGGACCCGGGCTGGCCCCCAGGTACCTGTTCCGAGCGGTTCATGCAGTTCCGGGCTTCATGCTCTAGGAGGTTCTCCTTCCGAAAGTAACATTTTCCACATTTGGGACACTCAAAGGGTTTCTCCCCAGTGTGTTTCCTGCTGGGAGAATCCACAGAGGGTGTGGGGGCTGAGCGGAACTCCCGGCCCTCCCTCAGCCAGTGCCCCTTCTGATTCCCTGCTGCCAGGGCTGTGTTCCACGGCAGAGGAAGGACCTGACGTCGCCACCTGAGGATCGGTCAGACCCCACTGGTGAACCTGCAGGGGTGAGCCCCGAAACCCTTCTCTCTTGTAGAGATTCTGCAGGGGAAAGGGCCACACAGCATCATGCCGGAGGTGACACCCTGGAGCCACCACACAGGCCAATGAGGAGGCCCGGCTGCCAGCATCTCTCCAAAGGCAGAAATAATCCCCAGGCCCTGACTCCCCAGAGAAACCACTCAGTCTCTCTGGAACTTCTGTGGGCTCTACCTTCAAAACCATGGCCAGAATCTGACCACTTCACCTCGCCTCCATGTTACCACACAGTGCGGCCACGCCATCCTCAGCCTGTCTCGTGCTCCACACCTGCCTCCCAACAGGTTGTTTTTTGTTTTTTGATTTTTTTTTTATTGAAGTACAATCAGTTACAATGCATCAATTTCTGGTGTACAGCACAATGTCCCAGTCATGCATATACATACATATATTCGTTTTCATATTCTTTTTCATTAAAGGTTATTACCAGATACTGAACGTAGTTCCCTGTGCTATACAGAAGAAACTTTTT